ATGTGGACAGCACGCAGCGACTTGAGCTGGGTCTGACTCCAGAGGAGGAGATGGCGGGCGAGTTGTGACATGCGACGTGATCATAGACATCTCTGGTGGTTTATATATGATACAGCCGCAGTGTTGTGTTACGTCTGGTGCCGTTTTGTGTTGTTGTTTTCTTTTCTCTTCTCTCTTTTGTTCGTCTTTACTTTCACTTTCTTAGTGCTACGCCATTGGTTCTGCTTCCTACCAATCATCTTTGGAAGCGATGACATCATCTCTGTTTCGTTCCAGCTGGCGGATACTGGGATCTATAAAAGGAAGATGCTGACAATGCAAGAGAGGCCTTGCTCGTTGTCTGTTGCTATTCTTTTTGCTATTGTGTTTTTTAGCCGATGCTCGATGCTAACTCTGTGTATTGTGGGTTAAGCAGTTGTTTTGTATATCCGCGTGTGTTTTGTGCATTACTTAAAAGCTCCGTTTCACCTCCATTTACTTAAACATCTTTTGGTTGGACATTCGTATGTATACAAAGGTGAGGGAAGGAGAGGAAAGGTAAGAATATTACGTGATATATATTTTTACATCCCCGCAGTGAATTGTTGTTAAACACACTGGGTAAGGGGCATGCGTCACATGCTGTACTTTTTGTTTTGAGTAGCTTATATTAGGGTGTCTTCGGATACTGAAGATTTTCTTTTCATTTTCTTTAGTTAGTGTAGAATTGATAATTGAGTTAGAGGGTTATGTTTTGATTATTTCTTTTGTTTGATTGCTGCCCAATTCCCTCCTTTTTCCCTAGTTGCCTGGGGTTTTCCTTTTTATTCCCTTTTGTTTCTTTTCATGTAAATATTACTGTGAGCTCTTTTTGTATATAAGCTTTCCTACGGTAACATTGTAAACTAGATAAAAAAAGTTCGTCAAGACAAACTTTTGGTTGGCTTGAGAAAGCCTAGCCTGAAATTTTAAAGCATTTGAAAAAGCCTGAAGTTTGAAAATTTAGATAAATTAGATAGATGTTGATAACATGTTTCTAGCATGATTAGCATATTTTAACATGATTGGCCTTTTACTAGCATTTTGTTGGCATGATTAGCATGTTGCTAGCATGATTAGCAAGTAACTAGCATGTTGCTAGCACGATTAGCAAGTTACTAGCATTTTGCTAGCATGTTGCAAGCATGTTGCTAGCATGATTAACAAGTAACTATCATGTTGTTATCATGATTATCAAGTAACTAGCATGTCACTAGCATTTTTCTAGCCTGATTAGCATGTTGCTAGTATGATTAGCATGCTATTAACATGTTGTTAACATGATTAACAAGTGACTAGCATTTTTATAGCATGATTAGCAAGTAACTAGCATGTTGCTAGCTTGATTAGCAAGGTACTACCATGTTTCTAGCATGATTAACATATTACTAGCATATTGCTAGCATGTCGTTAGCAAGTAACTAGCATTCTGCTAGCATGACACTAGCATGTTTCTAGCATGATTAGCATGTTGTTAGCATGATTGGCAAGTAACTAGCATGTTGCTAGCATCTTTAGTCGTTTTTGCATCAACACCCAATCGAATTATATACTGTATGCAAAATACCATGCTCTGAGACAAAGTGTCGTAAACTTTTCCTCCAAAAGTTCAAGACGCCATTGGCTCTTTGAAATCCCAGAGGAGTGACCTCGATAGAAGATAGGGGTGGTTCTGACTCATTTTCCATAACTGCATTCTCCGGTTTCTCTAATAGCTTCATTCATCCACTTTAGCTCCCCTTTTGTATGCACACGTGAATGTATGTTTGTTTGTTTGTTAGACTAGTTTGCGTTAGTATTTAGTTAATAAAAGTCTTGTGCACAAATTACGTGAGTTTCTGATTCTGCCTTGCAAATTAAACTACTGGCAGCTGATATTAATAATTGTAATTAATCATAATTAATTGTAATTATTTATATACATTTCCCTTCTGAGCTAATTTGCTACAGACCCAATGCTCTTGCAGCAAAAGCAGTCTGTCTCAGTGAGCGCAGCCTAGTGTGAAGCATTCAATGATACAGAAACATCGGTGACAGCATTCTACTCTGATCCGCCTAGAAGGATTGAACCGCTCAGTGTAACGAGGGGTCGCTGATCCTCACGTGTAAACACACCGGCGGATCAAAGTGCTGCTGGGAGAGTGAGCACGCAGGACCTGTGCCAGCGTGGGATCACTCAAACCCAGTTGCTCAGCTCCATGACTCCACCGTTTCTTTCTCCGAGCTCGCTGAGAGAGGAGAAACGGGAAAGCGGGGCTGCCTTCATTGAAGAAGGCGGTCCGCGAGTGGAGAATAGCGAGACTCATGCTCTCAGTGAAAGCAATCCGTCTCAGTGAGATAGGTTAAATGCAGACCACAAATTCTGAGTATGGGGCACCATACTTGGCTACACGCCACGTCACTCACTCACTCGCTCAACAAGAGTCTGGCCGTGGTTCAAGGGGTTTGTCCCTGGCACCCTTCGAGACCATGGACTCTGTTTCAGAAAAGTTCCTTACTCTGACCAGCTGTTGGAATACCTTGATACACCCAGGTGAAGCCTCCAAGCAGACAATAAATAAATTAATCATTGATGCTATCTCTACAGCCTACAAGGTGCATTACCTTCCCTCACTTCTGGCTGTGCGGACCCACTCTACTAGGACTACTGTACCCCTGGTTCCCCTAGAAAAGAACAAGACACTGTGTTGCCTTGCCATACTTCCTGCATGTCTGTGAACAGCTTGCTTCAGCCAATCAGAAGCAAATGTTGGCTTGTTCCAGGTGTCTTTTATAGCTTCCGCAGTACACCATCATGGTCACGGGATGACGCAGTACCAATCAGGATTGGAATAGTTGCATACAGGCTTTAGCACAATCACATTGAGGCGTTCCACATAGCATTGTCATTGGATGCAGCATCTTGATCCCTTCTTAAGGAACCACGGTTACAGTCGGAACCTGAGATGTTTTCAAAGTTTTCTCAGTACCTTCAACAGTTTATTAAATCCTGTTTGATTTGTTAAAGAAGGATTCGAAGTCACATTTTCTTAGAGGCAGGATTTTAAAATGTGTGAAAATCTGGCAATAATTTAATTCCTCTGATTATATTAAATTTATTTTTTCATTATTGACTCTTATTAGTATTATTATTATTTATTAATACTACTATTAAAAATACTCAGTATCACTGGATTGGGATGTTTTTAAATGTTAACCATGAAAGTGATATGATTATTCTTAAAAATGTTTGGTTGCATGTTCTGGCCCTCGCAAGAAAATAAATTTATAGCCCTGCGATATACGAACTATGGCAACATCTCCAAGATGCTGGATCAACCTTGAAAACTTAAATATTTCTATAACTTTCTCTTTTTAATCCTTTCTATTTTGTACAATCCATTGAAGGTTAAAGGGTAACGCTAAGCATGACACACAGCTGTCTATGGCGGACCAAACCTGCTGAAATTCCCACATGCATTTATTTTCAGATTTATTTATTAATTTATTTCTTTTTACTTTTCCATGTGCAACATGGAAATGAGGGAGGCGGTCCTTGCTGAGATCTGGTGAATCATTGTTTGAGAGCTCACGCAGAAGTGTCAGTTCAAACTAATGATAGAGATCTGCATTTGATACGAGATGTGTCAGATCAACTGGAGAGTTCCAAGATATTTTCACAGATTCACATTATTATGTTGAATTATTTTATAGCGACTGAATTCAGCTACTTATCCTCATAGTTTCATCATTAAGCCCGGAACCATCAACGTCAATGAGATTCTAGGTTGATGGCGCCTCTAGACACACTCGGTGGAGGTTTCTAAGGCTTGTGTTTATTTTGTAGTCACAGAGAGAATCTCACAGAGAAAAGACTCCCAAAAGCATTGTGTTTTTTGGAAGTGCGGCCCTCTGGCAATTGATGTTAAAGTTGGCTTTATTCGCAAGTTTATGGACCATCTCTAAAGTTAAATACGACATTGGTATACACGTTTCTAACTTCAATAGCATTTGAAGAGAATAACTTACAGTCACAAAACCAACTGTAAAGTGTTCATCTATGAGTCAGGTATATTTAGTAGTGCTGTCAAAATTAGCACATTAATGCAGGCGATTAATTTTTTCAGTTTAACGCGTTAAAAATATTTAACGCAATTAACACGGGGCAAAGCTAGGGTTGGCAACCACACTCACAGCTGCTGCTTCTGTCTTTTTTCTTGAAAAGATTTGCATTTATTTAGACGCTGAACGTCTTTATGACTACATCAAATGGGAGACTTTTCAGACGCGCACTCTAAAACTTTGCCTCAGCGCCAGGCGCTAGTCAAACGAGCGCGGAAAAGGTACAGGTGACGAGGAGCTTCAGTAGAACAACAGTGAATTTATGTCGTCATTTAAGTTATTAAGTTACCAAAAAGGCAATTAAAGCTGCCTTAAAACTGTGCATGCATGTAAGTATTTGTTATATGAGTTACATTTAAGAACATGTCTCTGAAATGGTTTTCAAAACTGTCGTGGGGCAGCCCAGCACTGTCTCCCTCATCTAACACACCCGATTCAACTCGTCAGCTCATTAGCAGAGACTTTAAGACCTGAAGTAGGTCAGAAAAGGTAAAGAGTTGTGAGAAAATATGATACTTTTGTAGCTTTAGTCCTCTTGTATACAAGTCCTCTGAACCTGTGCTGCAGCCTGGAATTAAACCACACCATGCTGGTTTTGTCTGGCCAGAGGAGAACTGGCCCCCTACTGAGCCTGGTTTCTCCCAAGGGTTTTTCTCCATTTCTGTCACTGATGGAGTTTTGGTTTCTTTGTCTTGCTTAGTTGGGGACGCTTGACTGATTGCACAGAGACTATTGGAAGAGAGCTGAACTGGATGATGGCATCACTGAATCGTCAATGAGCTGACTTTAGCTGGAAAAATGACTCTGTTATTGTCTTCTTGCATTATTGACAAACGCTTTTCCTGTTTGACTCTGTAAACCTGCTTTGACACAATCAGTATTGTATAAAGCACTATATAAATAAAGGTGACTTGACTTGACTTGACTTTAAGGTTTAATCTTTATTTAAATTAAAATTTAGTGTTTTGATAACAATTTCTGTATATTTCCTACATGCTGAAGTGCACAGGTAGCTAAATATGACATTTATTATAATGGATTTATGTGAAGATTGTTTTAAGTTAACTTAAAATCGAAGCTGTTCTTTTTTTAAAGTCTTATAAATGTTAAAATGGATAGATCTCAATTATACTGTAATGTTGAATGGCTAGTTAATGGTTAAATATTAGGGGAAAAAACAATTTCATAGAGACATCAGTAGTATTGGTATCACTGATACTTGCCTTCAGTCATAAAAAAAGATGCCATTAAACAAGTATTAAAAATATACTGTCTTTATGTTGTTTCTACATTAATTTGAAGATTGAATGTGAAATTATTGCAATATAAAAGTACATTTAAAACTTTAATGTTAGGTGGGATTTCAGAAAAAAATGTGAGATTAATTGACAGTTTATTTTAATAAATATCAAAAATCTAATGTGTATACCAAAACGTGTATACCAATGTCGTATGTAACTTTAGAGATTGTCCCTAAACTTGCGAATATCGAACGTTCAACATCAAGTCAACTGGGCCACTATGCCAGTGGGCCGCGTTTCCAAACCTTTGATGCAACTGGTTTACGATAAACTTAGGCTCACAATGCTTTTGGGAGTCTTTTCTCTGTGAGATTCTCTCTGTGATTACAAAATAAACACAAGCCTTAGAAACCTCCACCGAGTCTCAACATCAACCGAATCTCATCGACGACATTGATTGTTCCGGGCTTAATGACGAAACTATCAGGATAAGTAGCTGAATTCAGTCCCAATAAAATAATTTGACATAATAATGTGAATCTGTGAAAATATCTAGGAACTCTCCAGTTGATCCAACAAACTCAGATCTCTATCGTTAGTTTGAGCTGACGCTTCTGCGTGAGCTCTCAAACAATGATTCACCGGATCTCCACAAGGACCGCCTCCCTCATTTTCATGTTGCACACGGAAAAGTAAAAATAAATTAATTAATAAATGTATACATGTGGGAATAAATACATATTTAAAAAATAAATAAATGCATGAATAAATACATTTAAAAATAAATGAATAAATTAAATAAATATAAAAAATAAATGAAATAATACAGAAAATAATACATAAAGGAAAAAGTAATAAAAATAAACGCAGGATTAAATTTTACTACAAATATATTTGTTTTATCAAGCCATTTATGTCTTTATTTATTTTCCTATTATTACATTTATTTATTTATTTTTAATTTCTGCAGGTTTGGTCTTCCATAGCTGAAAGCTGTGTTCAGTTTATTTTGTTATTGAGTAAAATCCCCTTGTTGCCCCACATACTTGAGTTTGTCCAGTGAGCAGTTTGGATCCTCCAGTTTTTCAGAGAGCAGCTTCTCTCCTGAATCTCCCGGGTGATTGTAGCTCAGATCCAGCTCTCTCAGGTGTGAGGGGTTTGAACTCAGAGCTGAAGACACATAACCACAGCCTTCTTCTGTCACCATACAACCAGACAACCTACATACACACAGCAACAGTCTTATAAATAAGGAAAACTTATTTTTATCAGCAATTATTAGCTATTATTTTTGTTTATTAATTAACCATGTGTCAAAGAGTCCTCTTAGATAGGTAATCACTGTGGCAACAGTGTATGTAAAGTAAAAGTTATGCTCCTTAACATGGAAGTTGATCTATGGACTTAGGTAAGATTTTGTAATGTGGGCTACCAATAAAAGATCAAAATTATCTGTACTTTATTTGTAATTTATTTAAGATCTGACTTACAAGCCTTGACTACGTGTGCCATTCTTCCTAAAAGCTTTTAACACAAATATGTAGACCAAAAAACATACACAAATATGTATATGCCATTCAATTCAAAAGTTAAAAGCAGAAATGCAACTCTGAACTGCTGAATTTGCCTAATTTGCTAAATACCTCAGTATCTCCAGCTGACAGTTTGTACTCTTCAGTCCATCAGAAAGCAGCTTCACTCCTGAATCCTGCAGGTCATTGTTACTCAGATCCAGCTCTCTCAGGACAGAGTGTGAGGATTGTAGAGCTGATGACAAACTCTGACAGCACAGCGCATTGATATTACAGCCGGCAAGACTGAAAGAGAGCAGAACACACACAAATTAAATTCTTAACCTCATTCAACAACTGGTATTTCAATAATATCAAGATTTGTTCTTGTAAAAGAGGTTAAGACATTATACAGATGGTACCAGAATTGTCTTTTGCCGCAAAAAGTCATTTGATGCCGCAGTTACCACTGCCATTTCTGTGCCAAATGTATTTGCTGCCTCTGACCGGTAAGTTAAGCTTTATTCAGTGAAATTCACCATAACCAACCGTAACCCTACGGATTAACTCTATTAATCCATTACTGTTTCTAAATCTGTATAAACACACCTCTTTGTCATTACTGAACACACTAGCTCCCTTGATATACTTGCCATATATAATAACTCTATTTCCACTGCCCATAATATTCATGCCCCCCTTAAAAGTACATTTGTACCTTCTACACATACATCTCCCTGGTTTACTCCTGCACTCCATGACTTGAAAACTGCTGGTCATCGCCTTGAATGCCTTTACAGGAAAACCGGTTTGACTGTGCACCTTACTGCTTACAAAGACCATATTCAGTTATACAAATCTGCTATAAATACTGCACGCTCTAGCTACTACTCTACCCTTATTAGTAATGCATCTTCTTGACCTAAAACACCATCTTCTGTTGTCAGTGTTCTCACCCCTCACACCTGACATAGAGCTATGTGAGTCATTTGTACAGTTCTTCCAAGCTGCATTTTAATTATCTTAGATTTCTCTAAGTATCTCACAGTGTTCACATTTTACAACTCTCTGCTTTTGGTATCTCTGGAACTGCCTTATATTGGTTCACTTCCTATTTGTCTGACTGTCCGCATTAGATCTCTATTAGGGCTATTTTAAATTATTATTTAAAATATTAAATACAATTTTTTGCGCAGCTCGTCAGTGAACAACGGCTCTGTGTAGTTAATGCTGCTCAATGTGAAAGCACGCACGTGATGGAGATTTACCGCTGATTACAGAACCGGCTTTCTGACAAGATGCGCATTAAATATCGCATACGATTTATCGTGCAGCCCTAATCTCTATGTTACATACTGCTCTGAGACACAAAAGATGTCCAGATGCAGCCTTTTATTGAAGGTTAATCCAAAATCATAATCCATATAACAGGCAATTGGTCAAAACACCATGCAGATAATCCAGACAATAAACACCAAGGCAGAAAAGACAAGCAAACGGGGTAATCCAAGACAACAGGCAGAAGATCAAAACCAAGACAGGAGAAACCAAGGTACAATGGCTCAGAAATGCATTGTAAAGTCTTGTATGTTTAATGTTACAATGACTGACAGAATACACCTGTAATGAGGGGTCAGAGGCGTGCGGATCCATTTGCAGCTTTTATTAAATAAATAGCAGAGTCAAACAGGCAGTAATCAATCAACGGTGTCAGGAACAACAGGGACAATCCAGATGAGTAAACAGTAACAGAGCGCGGGTCGGGGCAGGCGGCAGAGAATCACACTAGAATGAACAGTCCAAGATAATACACGAGAGATCAAATAGACAGGGGATAAACGCTCAGAGATGTTAGCCGTGGCAAAACAAGACTTTGCGAAAACTAAGCTTCCCCATTTAAGCTGCATTCGGACTCTAAGGGGAAACACCTGTGCCAGTAATCAGTCCCAGGTACGGGGTGTATGGGAAATGGAGTCCATGAATGCTAGTACTCAGGAGAGGGTGCCCTCCGGTGGCGGTCGGAGAGAGCCTTGAGGGAAGAGCCAAACGGTAAGATACAGCTGTGATTTGTCTAATGATTTTGAATGGACCCACGTACCTGGGACTCAACTTCTTGCACGGGAGCCGAAGGCGAAGGTCTCTTGTGGAGAGCCAGACCCATTGTCCTGGGGTGTAAGCAGGACCTGACCTTCTGAGACCGTCGGCCTGTTCCTTGACCCTGCGGATGGCGCGTTGGAGGTGCACATGAGCAGTATT